CCCACCCCACCTGCCCACCCAGCCACCTGCCCACCCCACCTGCGGACCTACCTCACCTGCAGGCCCACCTGGGAGGGGGATGGGGCCACCTTAGAAAGGTCCCCTTTGCGGGTCCTGGGCTGACAGTAGCACCCATCCAGCTATAACTCAGCCCTTCCCCGGGGCGTGAGGACAGACTTCACTCCAGGCGGATCCGTGCCAGGCAGGGGAGAGTGTGAGGAAGGTGTGTGGGGAGAGGATGGGTGCAGGTCATGGGTAAGAGCGTCTTAGGTATTTTGGGAGCGCCCTGCAGGTTTCCTGAGTGCTGTCGAGGGGAAATGCTTTCAAACAATGCTGGTGCTGTTCCTTCTGCACAAATAACCAAGCACATATCGGACTCCGGCTGCGAGGAAACAGGCAGAGCCGCGCTCGGCACTGGAGGTGATGAACCCGTGCACTAAGGCGCAGACCCGTTACTCAGAGGGCCTTGTCTGCCTGATGTCTGGCAGCACAGGGTCTTTCTGGGTATCTCCCGGTTCCCAGAGGCTCACACCTGTTCTTCTTCCTCTGCCGTCACCTTTGCCTGCTCTGTGACCTCGGCCGTGTCAGAGCCCACCTGCCTCCTCCCCACCTGCTCTGAGCGTAGGAGCCAGGGCAGAGTCAGGTGGGGTCCTGGTGGGGCTGAGTGCAGGGCGGGCTGTCGCAGCCGTTCTGGGCCATGCGAGAGGTCATTGTTGCTGGAGGCCGATCGAGTCATACAGAGGGTAGAGAGAACAGTGTCCTGCACTGTCCCTGTGCCCAGAATGGGCTCCGTGGACTCATGGTATTTCCCAGAAGGGAAGCCACCAGCAGCTTGTAGGCATCGCTTTTTAAAAGACAGACAGATACGGTTTTTGCTCTTAGTTATGTAAAGATATATTTCCTCCCTTTTCTCTTGACTTAATTCACCAGAAACAAAGGAAAATGTTTCCTTTGAATTTCTCCCACTGTGTCCGTTTCTCCCCCTTTGGAATTGGGGCCACTTTACCAGGCCCAGGTAGCTCAGACGCACGGGTAACAAAAGGAAACGTGTGAGAGCTGGAGACGCACGTGCCAGGCACCTGTCAGAAATGCCCGCTGCTCTTGGGAGAGAGGGTGTCTGGAGGGGGGTGTCGCGCTGCGTCTGGGACGTGCAAGTGTTCTCCCTGCAGGAGGAAGCCGTCCTCCGGGGTGGACGCGGCCTTTCCTCGTGCTTCAAACTCCTGAGTGAGCCCGTCCTGTCTCTGCAGCAACGAGCTGAGCATGACGACAGATTCCCGCTTAAACCTGCTGGACGACGGGACCCTGATGATCCAAAACACGCAGGAGACCGACCAGGGCATCTACCAGTGCATGGCGAAGAACGTGGCCGGGGAGGTGAAGACGCAGGAGGTGACCCTCAGGTACTTTGGGTCTCCAGGTACGTGAGGAGTTCCGCGAGGCTTCCCTCCAGAGTTGTTCTCCCTCCCCGTCACCTCCGTCCCCTCCTGGCGCCCCGACTTGGTAAAACAGAGCAGAGTTGGCCCAGGAGGCCCAGGGTCGTGGGAGATCGTGGTGTTGCCGTGGTCTGCAGCCGGCCACCAACCTGGGATGCAGTCCAGGCTGCGATGCCGTGAGCCCGGCTGTCCAGAGGGGCCTTGGGAACCTGCGGGACTGTGCCCGTCTGAGGGGCCGCGGCACAGCGACAGCCAGTCCTCGCCATTGTGGTGAAGTCTCTGTTTTGCCAAGGGCTTTGATCATTGAAAAGAAGCTCCCCAAAATGTAGATTTTTATGCAAAATTTCCATGTTTAAAATATTGGCACCTAATTTTAAAAAATTAAAAGGACTGTCCCAGCCACACCCATCACAGCTGTGGCCTCTGATCCAGCTGGGTCTTGCCAGGCTGCAAACTTCGCTCCGGTCTCTCTGTTTTATCCACGGCCCATGGTCAGGAGAGGACCTGGGCCCTTGGGGAGGAGCGCAGCGGAGGGGTCTGTGCCCACCGCCTCCCGGGAGAGCAGCGCGGCCGCTGGGACGTGCCTGTCTGCCCACCTGTGCGGAGGGCGGGAGCTCCGCCCACAGCAATCCACACATCATTCCGGGCCGTTTCCCTGGAATTTTGTGTTTCAGGCCGTCATAGTTATAAAACCCGTCGGACGGCAGCATAAGTGGTCTCGTGTTTGTTTCCATGTTTAGATTCCCTGCTCCTTAAAAACTGGTGTGACCTTTGCGTTTCTCGTCACTAGGAACATTCCCGCGTGGGTAGAGGGAATGTTTACAGTGGGTGAGCTTTCCTGGCTACCGAATTTAGTCCAGAGGGAAACAAAAGGAACACGTCCCTGCCGAATCAAAGCCGTGAGTCACACGGCTCTCGGCAAGGTTAGCACGAGGCAGGCAGCATCTTTCCCAAGTGGGGCTGCGCGAACCGCGCAAAGATGGCGAAGCACGGCTGCTGTCCAGGAGGAGCGCGTGTTCTGTCTGTGGGGAGTGCAACAGGCCACAGAGCAGGGGTGAAGTGACGTATCGACAAGGCCCTACGTACGAGTCGGAGCTGTGGTCCCGTCCCCGGGCCGCGCCCGGTACGGTGCGTGGCCTGTTAGGAACCAGCTGCACGTCACCGCCTGAGCTCGCACACCCAGCCCTGGTCCCTGGAAAAATTGTCTTCCACAAAACCCGTCCCTGGTGCCGGAAAGGTCTGGGGCGGCTGTGTTACAGAACAAAGGGGACTAATGGTAGACTTTGAAAATGAACTTACTTGGGAGAGTCACTGTGTTAGGTGAATTCATTACTGGACGGGAATATTTGGCCAGATGTTTAGGGCCCGAAACGCCAGATTTAACTCCTGGGTCTGAATTTTTTGTCTTTCTCAAGAACAACAGGCTTACTTGATACACCAGTCTGAGCGTGCGTGTTGGCGTAGCTCGCCAGCACACAGGGCGAGGCTCTCCCGCTATCTGGTGCACGGGGAGGGTCTCCCACTATCACCACGGCCTGGGCCGGGGCCGGCACCCCACACCCTGCCGGCCACACCTGGGTCTATGAACTAAGGGTATCTTTTTACATTTTTCGATGATTGAAACTCTTAGGAATACTATTTCACAACACAGGACAGCTGTATAAAATGCAAACGTCAGTGTCCGTAAACCAAGTTTTGCTGGAACAGAACCGCGCTCACTCTTTGGCACACTGTCTGTGCCGCTTTCGCCCTGCCGCGGCCGAGCTGAGGGGTGGCAACAACACTCTGCGTCCTTCAGAGCTGAGAGCACCCTCTGTCTCAGAGGGTGGTAGTGATCTGTTGTCGTAGTAACAGAGTGACCTGTAAGTAGCTTGGCCACCAAGGGCTAAAGTACACTCACTGTCTGTCTGCCTGTGTCAAAGCTCTGTTATTAGGGGCACAAGGGTTTCCAGTTTTTATCTTCCGGGTGGGTGAGATTTTTGATCATTAACACTTCCATTTCTGTCAGTGCTGGATTTTAAAAAGTTCAGACTGACATTCTGTTAAAGTGATTGCAGTTCCCAATATCTATAAATTGTACCTCTTATTTTGAAGTATTTGTCCAACTTTTCCTGTGTTTCTTGCCCCATTCTGAAGTGACTAATTCCGTCTTTCACTTCCCACTCCTAGTTTGGAAATTACATGCTCTGTTTCGATTCTGGTGGCTGTCCTAGAAAACTTAAACGTGTTCTCACATTGCCAAAGCCTGCGTTGTTACCACCTTGCTCCCAGCGTGCAGTCACCCTCTTAGTTCTGTGCCGGGTTCTGGTTTTCAGCCCCTGACGTTGCTGCTGCCTCCTCCCTTCAGTCTGGTCCGCGTGGTCCGTGTGGCTGTCACGCCCTTGGCTCTTCTGTGTCACCGTAGCTCCCTGTCGCTGGCTCCCCCGCTGCCTGCTGCAGGGGACCAGGCCGCAAACCCTGTGAGCATGGCTGGCGTTGAAGTTTAAATGAGATTTGTCTCCCTCTGCGCGGCCGTTTCCTGGGTGGGGTGGGCAGGTGTGACTTTCTCTCCGGTTCCTTCTCTCCCTGAGGACACTTTGGGGGCTCAGTTGCCCTATTTGACCCCTCCCTGGCCTGTCCCGTCTTTGTCTTGTGTGTCCCTGAGGCTCCTTAAAGCCAAATTTAAACTGCGAAGTTCCACAGGCGACTTTGGTGTTTCTCCCCCCGTGCGTAGCTTCGGTTTCCACTTTGCTGTCTGGTAGAGATGCCAGTACTGAGTGTTATTTCTGTATTTTTGTAATTTGTCGGTGCTTAGACACCTGATCAGTGCAGCCCAAACGTTCACAAATGCAAGATGGCGGAAGGTGTCCCTCCAACTTCCTCCTTCCCCGCCCGACTCCTCCTCCGTCCCCACCGCGGAGCACGTGGTCTCTCCATCCCCCCGCGGAGACTCAGGCTCAGGCCAGCAGGGGGTTTTCTTACCTGCCAGGTCTTAGAATCTTCCAGTCTTTCACTTCAGGGCGTGAGGAGTTTTCCTAGCTGCATAGAACTCTGTTGTCCGGACGTACCACAATTTACAGTATTTAACAAGTTCCCCTGGGCAATACCTTCAGATTTTCCCCGAACCTTTAGCTGTCACGGGTCCATCTTCTTTCTTCAAAAGCCTTTGGGCGAGATGTTGTTAGAAATTCAGGAAGTTGGGAACTCTTTAGAAGGTAACGTGACGCATGATCCCCTCGAAAACCGCTGCGTCTGCAGAGTCTCGGCCGACGCCTGTCGTCAGGGCACCAGTGTCCTCCGGCAAGTGTCACCGTCCAGTGCGTGGGATGAGTGGACTCGTGCTGGACAGATCACATTTTGAAAATAAGCAGGTTACAAAAAAATACCAATCTGGGGAGCTTTTTGGATTCCGGAATGTTGGATAAGGATCGTTGGCTCGGAGACATAACATGACAAAAACGAAACAAACCCAAATTTCTTAGTACCTGTGTCATTTTACACGCTCGTAAAATATCTGTGGGTTAAATTCCGAGCAGGGTGATCTTGGTGAAACCGTGTGCAGATCTTTAGTTTGGATGCCTACGGCTGCATCTCTCCAAGTGGGGACCACGCTAACACGTGCGAGTCCCCAACAGTCACCCATAAAACACGCCAGCGAGTGCGTGGATTTTGCCCTAGATTTAGATCTGAAAAATACTATCTCAGTGTAGTTTGAATCTGCATTTCTCTTTTTGTGAGTGAAATTAAATTTTATATGTTCTAAATACACTTTACAAACAGTATTTTCTGCCAATGAGAACTAGGGAAGCTTAGCAAGATTGGCACGATGTATTTAGTGTGGACAAAAATAAGAATCTCTGGAGCCCGACACATGTTCAAAGAAAAGAAAAGAACCAGCTCTCACCCATCACCCGAGTCACCTGCCCCCCGGCGCCTGCTTATTGTTTGGCCTGAGCCTTGAGCCGTTTTTATCGTGTGCATTTTTTAAAAGAAAATGAGAAAGAATGCATTAAATGTTGGTAGTTTTGCTCATGTTGGAGGTTGAGATAGAATGAGCAGCCTGAACGTAGATAAAATCAAGCGAAAACTGTGTCACAGTGGGAGAAATTAATTGAGGACTTTTGTTTGATTGTGACAGCTCGACCCGCTTTTGTAATCCAGCCACAGAACACGGAGGTGCTGGTCGGGGAGAGCGTCACCCTGGAGTGCAGCGCCGCGGGCCACCCCCCGCCGCGGATCTCCTGGACGCGAGGGGATGGGAGCCCCTTGCCAGTGGACCCGCGAGTGAACATCACGCCCTCTGGCGGCCTTTACATACAAAACGTCGTCCAGGGTGACAGCGGGGAGTACACGTGCTTTGCGTCCAACAGCGTCGAGAGCGTCCACGCCACCGCATTCATCATCGTCCAGGGTAAGCGTCTGCCTCAGCGCCGGGGCCGCTTGGTCTGGCTTCGTCCTCCCGGGCACACCTGGCTGGCGTCTGCAGTGTGCGCAAGGCTGTCGGCAGCTTCCGTCCTGTCCACGCAGCCGTAACCAACGCGTGGCCCTGACCACCACTGGGTGCTTTCGCACAGTCGGCCGCGGGCTGGTTTTGGAACAGAAACCTCAGGAGGATGGCCTCGTGTGTGGCTGCGCTGACCACACGCCTCCAGCGCCTGGCCTGCAGCAGTGTCTGTGCATGAGTGAGCATGTGTGCATGTGTGTGGGAGAGCGCGTGTGGCTGAGTGTGAGTGCGTATGTGTGAGTGCATGTGTGTGAGTGCGTGTGATTGTGTGTGTGAGGGTGAGTTCATGTGTGTGTGTGAGTACGTGTGTTTGAGTGTGTGAGTGCATTTGTGTGTGTGGGGTGTGAATGTGGGTGCGTGTCAGTGCATGTGTGTGAGTGCATTGTGAGTACGTGTGTGCATGTGAGTGCGTGTTTGTGAGTGCGTGTGTGAGTGGGTGAGTGCGTGTCAGTGCATGTGTGTGAGTGCATTGTATGTGAGTACATGTGTGTGCATGTGTGAGTGCATGTGTGTGTGTGAGTGCATATGTGGGTGAGTGCATGTGTGTGTGGGTGAGTGCGTGTGTGAGTGCATGTGTGATTGTGTGAGGGTGAGTTCATGTGGGTGTGTGTGTGTATGAATGAGTGCATTGTGTGTGAGTGCATATGTGCATTTGTGAGTGCATGTGCGTGAATGTGTGGGGTGTGTGAATGTGGGTGCATGTGTGAGTGCATGTGTGTGAGTGCATTGTATGTGAGTACATGTGTGTGCATGTGTGAGTGCATGTGTGCGTGAGTGCATGTGTGGGTATGTGAGTGCATGTGTGTGTGGGTGTGCGTGTATGAGTGTGTGTGTGAGTGCGTGAGTGCGTGTGTGAGTGCATGTGTGATTGTGTGAGGGTGAGTTCATGTGGGTGTGTGTGTGTATGAGTGTGAGTGCATTGTGTGTGAGTGCATGTGTGCATTTGTGAGTGCATGTGCGTGAATGTGTGTGCATGTGCGTGAATGTGTGTGCATGTGCGTGAATGTGTGGGGTGTGTGAATGTGGGTGCATGTGTGAGTGCACGTGTGTGAGCGCATGTGTGTGAGTGCGTGTATGAGTGCATGTATGTGAGTGCACGTGTGAGTCCATGTGCGAGTGCGTGAGTGTGTGCAGACGTGCCGCAGTTAATCCACCCCCTGAAGACAACTGTGGACGCTCCCGCACGTCGGTGGTTGGACGCAGGGCCCTGGGAATCTGTAGTCTGCGCTCTCTGCCCCGATGCCCACGTGCCTTGATTGTGACGTGAACTGCGAGTTGGGGGCAGGACAGACGTGCACAGTGGAGGGAAATTCCGTCCCCACCCGTCTGTGACGGTTCCTGCCTCGCCGACAGCTGGCCGTGAGTCCGGCCGCCCAGTCCCCAGGTGCCACAGCGCAGCGTGGTGCGGTTTCCCTCCCCACGCGGTTGTGACTCTGACTGCGGTGGACCCACACCAGACGTCCGTGTTCCACGTGTGCTTTTCCGTCCCAGCGATGGCTCCTGTCGCTCTGCGCGACGGTACCAGCCGACATTTTTAACCGTCCGCGGATGTTCAGGTCGAGGACCGAGATGAGTCGTGTTAAGTCCTCCTCGCTCCCGCAGCATGAAACGTGACGTCACTGCTGTGCACTGGGCAGCCGGCGACATGGTCGGGCGGTGGTCACACGCCAACGACACAACTGTTCTTGATCCTCTTCCTGGGTCACTCGCGCTTTCTCCCGAGCGTCTTCACCATTCCTCCTCCTCGTGGACGTCGCACGCGCGGTGCAGCGTCCGTCCCAGCGGGTCACTGTCTGTGGGCACTTTCACCCTTGCGGCTTTTTAATGTCCTGTTTCAAATGTTTTTTCCCGGAAGCTCTTCCTGAGTTCACCGTGACGCCCCAGGACAGAGTTGTCATCGAGGGTCAGACGGTCGACTTCCAGTGCGAGGCAAAGGGCAACCCGCAGCCCGTCATCGCCTGGACCAAGGGAGGTGAGCGCGTCCGGGCTTGCGGGCCCTTTGCCCACTGCGCACTCCGGACGGACACGAGACCTCGCTGTCTTTGCCCCGGCCAGGCAAACCCGGCGTCCCCTGGGCAGACCCAGCTGTGGCTGAATCCCACTCAGCCCAGGCGCTGGGGGCGGGCAGAGGCGTCCACACCTCTCCCGTGGCTTCCCCAGTCTACGCGAGGTCGTCACAGGCGTCAGGCAGGAAACACTGAGAAGCTCTGTCGTTACTGCAGGGACTCGGGTGCCCTCACCCTTGCCTCTGCGTCTGCACGTCTGCCTGTAGTTAGCATCTTCGTTGAAATTTGGTAGTGCATGGGATAGAATTTTCCGGAAGCAGTAGGGGAGCATATTCAAACAAACAACAACTTTCTCACTTTGGTTCTTGGGATGGGGTCCTGGCCTACTTTTTCCAATGGGGAAAGCGCTGGGCACGTTACCTGAGAAGGCCCAGCCTGTGTGGGGAGCTTGGGACCAGGGAGGGCAGGTGCTGAGCCCCGAGGGCAGATTCTAGGCGGACCTCCAGGGTTCCCGTCCTGGGGTCCAGGCAGGCGCCCTTGAGACGTCCTGGTCACCGGGCTTGAGCCAAGGGGCCGGCCCCACCCCTTCCCTGCTCTGGGTCCCGTCCGGGGATCCTGACATCCGTGTGGAGGTGTGTGCTGGGCCACGCACCTGGACTCCCCTGTGCTCAGGCAGGTACAGTTGGGATGGGAGGGGGTTGTCCCCAGGAGTAACGTGCCAGCATCTCAGTTGACTTTTCAGTAACCGCGGTCCCTGCATCCTCTTCCCACCTCTCTCGGCAGGTGACTCCCTCAGACACCCCAGGTGCCTGCGTCCCCCTGGCTCCGATGTGGCCCTTTTCTCTCTGTCTCTGCCCGTCTCGGCCCCTTCCTTCGGGCCACTGGAGTGCAGGGATGGTTTGATCCCCCAGCCACTGCCCATCTCGGCCCCTTCCTTTGGGCCACTGGAGTGCAGGGATGGTTTGATCCCCCAACCTGTGTCCAGCAGGACAGACAGGTGCCCTAATGCTGCCCAGTGCCTGCCACGCCCCGACCCAGGCGAAGACGAGCTTCTGTGATGTTCTCCTTAACTTGGAGGTCTCAGCGTGACCGACACGTGTCCCTTGCAGGGAGCCAGCTCTCTGTGGACCGGCGGCACCTGGTCCTGTCGTCGGGAACACTCAGGATCTCCGGCGTCGCCCTGCACGACCAGGGCCAGTATGAGTGCCAGGCCGTCAACATCATCGGCTCGCAGAAGGTGGTGGCCCACCTGACCGTGCAGCCCAGAGGTGCGCACCAGGGTCGGGAAGCAGGTTTTCCGCAGCTGACATTGACACGGCTGTTAATTTAAAGCGTTGACTCCTCCCTCTGTGTCGCATGAACTGCTGTGGTGCTCGCAGCCCCAGGGTGTCTGCGTGTGGCTCATTCGGTCTCTGTCCCCTTAGCTGGCGAAAGTCTGTCTATTTTTTAGCGATGATGGTTTTGGATTCAGACAAGGCTCCCTCAGGTCTTTTTGCTTCATACCTAATGTTCGCTCAGGAGAGGGCTCCCAGCTTCCCTGTCCAGGGCCGTTATTTGGGGGGCGTGAGGTCCCACCAAGCCATCTGCCCATGCAGGACCCAGATGCTGTCTCACTGGCCTGTCCCGCTGCCCTGCCAGCCTGGCTCCCACCCCATTTGTCCTTCCGGGGACGTCTCCTTTGCCTGTTCCCGCCGCTTGGAAGACCCGGCTCCTTGTGGTCTCCTGTAGCATCAGGGTGGGAAGATCAGGGACCCTCTGCAAGTGCAAGGGTGGGAATGCGAGGCGACCCACAGCGGAGGCAGCGCAGGCCACCGCGCCCTGAGCCTGGCATGGGAGAGGGGGGCCGAGGGCGCTTGGCCCCAGCTCCCCTGTGGAGGATGCCGCGGGACCACCTGGGGCCCTGGGCTTGTGGGTGGGTGGACTGTCGGCGGCCGGCCCTGCCTGTCCCTGACCTGGCCGGACGCTGACCGCCAGCTGGGTGGCCGCATGTAGGGTTGGGGCTCCTGGAAGGCCGCCCAGCCCAGACCCTCCGCAGTTGGCCACGCCCCACTTTCAGACGAGAACGCGCCTCTCCCTGGCGGCATTTCCTTCCTTTGAGACTCAACTGTCTCGGGCAACCGTGGTGTCGTCAGTGAGCCATGGGACTGCCCCGCTCGTGTGGGGCGTGGGGGGAGGAGGCGGCAGCCTGGCCGTGTCGAGGGCCTGGCGCTGTCTGTCTCTGAGCTGGGCACAGTTTGCCTCAGGTGGGCAGGTGGGCAGGTGGGCAAGTCTTCTCTCGAGCCCTCGTGCTCCCGGCCCTGTGCAGGTGCCGCTAGCAGGCAGTAAACGGACCGCCCGGGACTCTGAGCTCCGGGCCGTGGCTGCCTGATGGGGCAGGGGCTCCACTCTTCCGAAGCCTTTGGCCTAAATCACTCATTTCCCGGATTTTCCGCGTTTGCCTTCCAGTCACCCCGGTGTTTGCCAGCATCCCCAGCGACATCACGGTGGAGGTGGGCACCAACGTGCAGCTGCCCTGCAGCTCCCAGGGCGAGCCCGAGCCGGCCATCACCTGGAACAAGGTAGGAGCCCCAGCCAGCCCTGCTGCGCGGCGTGTGCAGACCGCGCCGCCGCCTGCCCCGTGCTCTGCGGCCTCCCGAGAGCAGGCGGAAGGATGTTGAAATGACGAGAGTTCGGAGCAGAACAACGTGGGGCGTCCTAACTAATGAGAACAAAATATGCGATCTCAGCACTCTGGGAGGCCAAGGCAGGAGGATCGCCTGAAGCCAGGAGTTTGAGACCAGCCAGAGCAAGAGCGAGACCCCATCTGTACTAAAAATAGAAAAATTAGCCAGGCGTAGTGTTGGGTGCCTGTAGTCCCAGCTGCTTGGGAGGCTGAGGCAGGAGGATCTCTTGAGCCCAAGAGTTTGAGGCTGCTGTGAACTATGATTGAGCCACTGTACTCCAGCCTGAGTGACGGGCCGAGACCCTGTCTCAAAAAACCAAAGAAACAAAACAAAAAAAATTGGCTAGGCGTGGTGGCTCACGCCTGTAATCCCAGGACTCTGGGAGACCGAGGCAAGAGGATCGCTTGAGGTCAGGAGTTGGAGACCAGCCTGGGCAAGAGCAAGACCCGTTTCTACTAAAAACAGAAACATTAGCCAGACGTTGTGGCATGTGCCTGTGGTCCCAGCTACTCGGGAGGCTGAGGCAGGAGGATTGCTTGAGCCCAGGAGTTTGAGGTTGCTGTGAGCTCTGATCACACCACTGCATTCCAGGCCTGAAAACAGAGTGAGATTCTTTCTCTAAAAACATAAAAAGAAAAAAAAGAAGGGGTTATTTCATTTTTCTTGCTGTTTAATAAGCCCACTGTGAATATCTGGGCAGCGCTCACACCCCTGGACAGCACTGTCCCATGAACGCCTGGAAGCCCAGGGCTGGCCGCGCAGGTCCCCAGGGAAGGGGAGCTCCGGGCGGGTGAGGCCCGTCCTCTGCTGTCCTCCTGCCCCTCACAGGCCCAGCACGCCTGGGACACGGCCTGTCCTTCCCGTGTCTGCCTCCAGAGCCCCCGTTGTGTCTCAGCTGGGGGTACATGCCCCCGGGCATGTCCCGCGTGTTGTCTCTCTGGGGCTCCCCCGACACGCAGCCCAGGCAGCCGCCGTCCCCGCTGCGATCGTGGGGATCCGTCCTCTGTGTCGGGCTCTGTCCTCAGCAGGGAATGAGGCGCAGGGAGAGTGTGTGCCTCTGGGCTGCACTGGGAGAGTCGATCGAGTCTCCTTCCGTGTCCAGGCCTGGGGGTCTGAGCGCAGCCTCCGACGCCTCCATTCGCGAGGTCCTGACAACCCCCCGGGAAAACAGCGGCTCCTGTGGTCTTACTCCCACCATCACCTTTCCTCCGCGTTGCTGCAGGACGGGGTCCAGGTGACAGAGAGTGGGAAGTTTCACATCAGCCCCGAAGGTTTCCTCACCATCAACGACGTGGGCACGGCGGACGCCGGCCGCTACGAGTGCGTGGCCCGGAACACCATCGGGTCGGCCTCGGTCAGCGTGGTGCTCAGCGTGAACGGTAAGGCCCCGCGCGCCCTCGCGGCCACAGGGGTTCTGCCTGCACGGCGTCAAGAGGGAGGCTGCACGGACCCTCCCATGGCCACGGCCACCAGTGTCGGGTGTGTGGGAGCATCGGGGGACGTGGCTTCCCTCCGTGGTGTCTGTGTGTGTGTGTGTGTGTGTGTGGTGTGTGTATCTGTGTGTGGTGTGTAGTGTGTGTATCTATGTGTGTGTATCTGTGTATCTGTCATGTGTAGTGTATCTGTGTGTGGTGTGTAGTGTGTGTATCTGTGGTGTGTAGTGTGTATCTGTGTGTATCTGTGGTGTGTGGTGTGTGGTGTGTAGTGTATGTATCTGTGTGTGTGTGTATCTGTGTGTATCTGTGTATCTGTGTGTGGTGTGTAGTGTGTGTATCTGTGTGGTGTGTAGTGTGTGGTATGTGTGTGTATCTGTGGTGTGTGTGTGTGTATCTGTGTGTGCGTGTATCTGTGTGTGGTGTGTAGTGTGTATATCTGTGGTGTGTAGTGTGTATCTATGTGTGGTGTGTGTGTATCTGTGTGGTGTGTGTGTATCTGTGTGGTGTGTGTGTATCTGTGTGGTGTGTATCTGTGTGTGTGTGTATCTGTGTATCTGTGTGTGGTGTGTAGTGTGTGTATCTGTGTGTGTGTGTATCTGTGTATCTGTGTGTGGTGTGTAGTGTGTGTATCTGTGTGTGTGTGTATCTGTGTGGTGTGCAGTGTGTGGTGTGTAGTGTGTGGTGTGTAGTGTGTGGTGTGTAGCGTGTGCATGTGCACGCGGCGTGAGGAGGTGGCAGCCCCGTGAACGGATGTCCTCGTGGCAGTGGGACCTGTCGTGGGATCCCAGAGGCCGCGTCTTCAAGCAGGGCGGGTTCGGGTCGAGCCTGTGTCCGGGGCGGGCGTGGCCGGGGTGGGAAGACGCAGAATCTGCTGGGCTGTGAGCGACTCGCCGACATCTCTGTCTCCGGGCCGCTCACAGGGTGGACGCAGCCGGCCGTCCCAGGTGCCGTCCCGTTGGTCTGAGAACTTCCACGTCTCATGCCACTTACTAGGGACCACGCAATTTCAAATATTAAAACATCTGTAATTTCTGTGCTGTTTGAAAACCGCTTCTGGTAGAATTTGTGATAAAATAGTGTAAGCCCTGGTTTGAAAACTAGAAATAACGTTTGTAGAAAAGTATGCCCGAAGTCCGAATGATGTAGCGTCTAGACGTTGTTTTACGAGTAACTCGTGGAGTATTTTTCCGGTAACGTGCGACTTCACGTTCTCCTAGTTCCTGACATCAGTCGAAACGGGGACCCGTTTGTAGCCACGTCCATCGTGGAAGCGATCGCCACCGTGGACAGAGCCATCAACTCCACCCGGACGCACCTGTTTGACAGGTATCGTGGGGACGCGAACCTGGCGCTGACCGGGTCGCTGGGCGTGGTCGGGGAGCCGAGGGATGCGGTTCTAGCAACTGACGTTGACCTGCTGCATCTGAGGACAAACAGTTAATTTAAAAACCGTAAACAGCGTCGCATCTGAGTTTTCTGGGGGCTGAGGTCACAGAAGGACACGTGCTTTTCTAGTAGAATCTGAACCGTGATTCCCACCAAAGCAGCGTTACAAAATTTCCACTTATTGTTTTCCCTGATTACTAAATGATTTGGCAGAAACAAAGTATCTCAAAGGTCGCGAGTGTGTTTGCTCGCATCGCCGACTCCAACGCAGTTTCTCTGCACCCTCCCGGAAATGCGGTATCTGTGGTTCTCTCTGTTGACTGAATTAATGACTTGTTTTTAGTGTCTTCTGGTTCTTGTTTGTTTGTTTTGTTGCCTCCCACGTCGGATGAGTAAGGTATCGTACACCACCTTGTAGAACGTAGCTATAGAAATATTAATAGCAATAATTACATTTTCGGATACTAGTGATTTTATCCTCAGTAATTCCTGTCGTTCTTCCCCTTCTCTCCCCACGCGGCCATCAGCCGTCCCCGCTCTCCAAACGACTTGCTGGCCTTGTTCCGGTACCCGAGGGACCCGTACACGGTGGAGCAGGCGCGGGCAGGGGAGATATTCGAGCGGACGTTGCAGCTCATCCAGGAGCACGTGCAGCACGGCCTGATGGTCGACCTCAACGGGACAAGTCAGTGCCCGCCCCGCCGCGCGGGCCACAGTCAGCACGCGCTCCGAGGGAGGGGTTGGCACTTCCTGCCCTGCGCTCAGGGACTGGGAGATGGTGCACTCACACCAGGGTCCTCCTGAGCTCACAGGTCCCGTAGCCCTCACGTGGGGTCTGATGGGAAACTCTCGGGACGTGGGACCCCGTGGCTGGTTAGGCCCCTGCAGGTCCATCCGCACCGCCTGCCCTGGCTGCCCGGTCGTCCTTCCCGCCGGGCTGCCGCAGACAGGGCTGGGGAAGCCGCTGCAGGACGACGGCTGGGTGGGGGACGTCGTGTCCAGGGGACGCAGTGTCCTGTGCGTCGGGAGGAGTGTTTCTGGAGAGTTCCCACTGTGCCCCCACGTGGCCGTTGCCCGTGAACGAGAGGTGCCTTTATATGTCATCGTCACCACCGTTAGTAGCTGTGCGGGTGGTGAAATGGTGCACGACCGCGACCTTGTGATGTAAAAGCATCGTTTTCAGCAGCAGCTGCGTACTCAGAGTTCTGCACACACTTGCACACGCACATGTGCACACGCATGCACACATACATGCACACACATGTGCACACACAGGCATGCACGCATGCACACACATGTGCACACACAGGCACACCCAGCACAGCAGAGACTGCCAGTCACAGCTGTCCTTCTGACGAGAGGGAACTGCTTTGTCATTTTTCACTGTTTTCAAATGACCTTCAATGAACATATCTTTCAAGATCAGGGCAAAAGAAAATTACTCCAGAATTTAATGTTCTTCTTATCCGTGTGAGACAAAGACATGCAGAAGTCAGAATTTCGGGGTGTATTCTCCCCGTCTTGTGAGTCTTCTTTCCGAGCCAGTCCTGTCCCGCTGGGTTTGGGGCCCACCTGTGCTGAGGATTCTGGGCTTTGGCATGTCTGAAGCATGCGGACCGAGCCCTTGTGTCCCCGTCCTCAGGGCAGCGGCTGCCTCCCCGGCCTCCCAGGTGGGGATGTCCGAGTTGGAGGTCTCGGAACGTTCTCACTTCTCTTTGCCGGTGAAACTCCAGCCTCTCCTCCTGGCACGTCCCTGGGGAGAGGCCCAGCCCCTGTCATTCCTTAGCAAGGATGTGCCGGGCTCCCCCTGCCTGTCAGGCACGGGCCGGCTGGGCAAGGGCAGGGGCGCGGGGCCTGGTCTCTGTGCGACTCTCTGGTGTGAAGGACGACGTTCTCTCTGGTCTCGAGGACGAAGTGGGAGATGTGAAGTGCGATTTCTTGCTACTTCCTACCTTTCTGCATTTAGTCACAGTTCAGATCTTTAAACGCTGCTGTGGTGGCCGCGGCAGGTAGGTCACATGAACTTACGATGCTGCCGCAGGAGTAAGGCCCATCCGGAGACCCGTCCTGCGCCCAGGCTGCGTGAGGCCGCTCCTGCGGAATCGCACGCCTGCTGTGTTTCGGTACGTGCTGATTGCAGAAAGGTCTGGAAACTTGGAAAGGCAAAAAGAGAAATGTGAAATCGCCCCCAGTAACGTGAGACGATCGAGTCCATTTGCGTTCACCTGAGCGCCGGTTAGGTCCGTGCGCCCACGCTCGTCACTTCGTCCATTTGTGCCTCACACGCACAGGGAGCACGTGCCCGTCGCCACCCCACGCTTTTTTCTGGGATAAAAGCGACAAGATGTGAGACTCTCAGCCCGCGAGGATCTGGCTTCCAGAGCAAGGCAGGCAGGGAGCCGGGAGAGTCGGCGCACAGTCAGCCCGCAGGAGCCATCGGGGCGAGGCCAGCAGGCCGCAGACGGTGGAGCCCTGGTGGGCGGGGGGTGCTGTTTCCAGTCGGTGCAGTGACCTTTGAGCAGAGACCCCCCAAGAGCAGGGGAACCCGGGCCGTTGAGGACACAACGGATGCCCAAGCTCCCAGGCAGGGCGCTTGGCCGCTGAGGACGGTGGGAAAGTGGGTGTGGCTGGAACAGGGAGGACGTGAAGTCAGGATGGTTCGTGATCTCTGACCAGAAAGGGGCTCTGGGGAGGTCCAGGGTGTGTCCTTTGCTCTGCGTAAGACGGGAGCCTCGAGTGCCGTGTGCAAAGGGGGACGTGGTGGGTGCGTTTTAAAGCACCAGACTGGTGACGGCCGCAGGGGTGAAGGCAGACACGGGGCAGGCAGCCCCGGAAAGTGGGGCACAGGGCGTGTGCTGCCCACGCTGGCCCGGACTCAGCTGCCTCCAGACCTGCGGCCAGCGCCGCGGAAGAAGTGAACACGCTCAGAGAAAGCCCAGGACCCGCCCTGCGCCCCGCTGACGCTCGGGACGAAGCTCGTTCTCCCGGCGCCATGCTCTCTTGGCTCTCGGAAGTTCGAGGCCGAGAATTTCCCAGGACTCTCCTAAGAGTGGCTGAGAACAGAGGCAGATGTGTCAGCTCCCTCTTTCAGCCTCTGGGAGGAACGTGCTGCCGGCGCCTCCCCGGGGAGACGTGGCCGGGCGCGGGTGGGCGGGGAGCCCAGGAGCATGTTCCCTCACGGGTCTCCCCTCAGCACACCAGGAAGTGTGTTTCTGCTGCTCCTCCCACCTCCACTTCTCACGTTCTCACGCGGGTTTTGTGCACACGAGCCCCCACCAACAAGCAGCCGTCTCTTGTGAAGGTGTACAGTGACGCCTTCCATCCGGTGGCCCGACGCAGGCTGGAGAGACGTTAGCGCAAAGAGGCCACGTGGCTGAGAACTCTAGTGTGCGAGTGTGCACACGTGTGTGTCTGCAGGCTTGTCTCTGCATGTGAAATGCACATGTGAAACGCACATGATAGTGTGCACACCTGAATGTGTGAATGCTGTTGTGTATGAGTGTGTACATGTGAGTGTGAGTGCATGTGTGTGAATGCGTGTGTGTGTACGCACATTTGAAAGTGCGCACACATGAGTGAGAGTGCGGGTCTGCATGCAGGTGTGCATGTGTGCACACGTGATTGAGAGTGAGCGTGTGTGAACATTTGTGTCTGTGCACACGTGAGACTGCATGTTAGTGCGTGAGCGTGTCTGCACATGTGAGAGTGTGTGAACATGTCTATGCATGGGAGTGTACACGTGCATGCATGATTGGGTGTGTGTACACGTCCGTGTGCATGTGAGTGCAGGGGTGCGTGTGCGTGCATGATTGTGAGTGGGTGTGTGGTGGTGAGAGTTTGTGTGTGCACTTTTGGGCAGGCCCTGGGAGGCGCCCTGCGGAGGAGGAGCGTTGAGGAGGCGAAGGCCGCGGAGGTGACTGTTTGTGGGCAGTGCCTTGGGCAGCTGGGTGTGAGTGTGCGCCATCCCGGGGCCTCGTGGTCGTGTTGCTCAGGGGCAGACGTCTTCAGGATGAGGACCAGGAGCTGCAGTTGGAAGGTGTCCCGTCTGCTGGAGAAATGTCCCAGCCAGCAAGTTTGGATCTTGGCAGTAGCTAGTGGGCAAAGACTGGAGGTCTGTGAGCAGGAGGTGACCTAGTAGGAACCCCCACACGGCCGTCGGAGGGGTGCTCCTGTGGGCTCCTCCAGGCAGGCGTCAGGGACACCTGTGCTGGGGTCCTGCCCCAGGAGTGGAGAGGGGGGCGGGGGCCTCAGGGATGTCCTAGAGGCGTCAGCCACGGAGGTGGCAGTGGAGTGGACATTGGAGCAGGGAGCAGTGAGCCTCAGATCCACCCAGGGGTGCAGGGCAGGGTCCTGCCCCTCGGCACGGGGGCCCTGTGATGCTCAGTCTGTCCCGTGGAACTGTGCACGCCTAGACAGGAAACCGTGGGTGGGCCCCACCACGTGGGGGTCTGCCACGGCAGAGACCACGAGTCTGCTTGGCTGGGAAGGGAGCAAGGCTGGGAAGCCCCCCTGTGTGCGGCTGGGTGGGGTGTCACCAGGTTCCCGGCAGGGAGAGCATGCTGCGGGGTGCGGGCAGGTGTCTCCAGTGGGTCAGGTCCCGCCTGCTCTGCCCTGCTGCAGGTTACCACTACAACGACCTGGTGTCCCCGCAGTACCTGCACCTCATCGCCAACCTGTCGGGCTGCACGGCCCACCGGCGCGTGAACAACTGCTCGGACATGTGCTTCCACCGGAAGTACAGGACTCAGGACGGCACCTGCAACAACCTGCAGCACCCCATGTGGGGCGCCTCGCTGACCGCCTTCGAGCGCCTGCTGAAAGCCGTGTACGAAAACGGGTTCAACACGCCCCGGGGCATCAACCCCCACCGGCTGTACAATGGGCACGCACTCCCCGCGCCACGGCTGGTGTCCACGACCCTGATCGGGGCGGAGACCGTCACGCCGGACGAGCAGTTCACGCACATGCTCATGCAGTGGGGCCAGTTCCTGGACCACGACCTGGACTCCACGGTGGTGGCCCTGAGCCAGGCGCGCTTCTCCGACGGGCAGCACTGCAGCTCCGCGTGCAGCAGCGACCCCCCCTGCTTCTCGGTCATGATCCCCCCCAACGACCCCCGCGCCCGGAGCGGGGCGCGCTGCATGTTCTTCGTGCGCTCCAGCCCCGTGTGTGGCAGCGGCATGACGTCGCTGCTCATGAACTCCGTGTACCCGCGGGAGCAGATCAACCAGCTCACGTCCTACATCGACGCGTCCAACGTGTACGGGAGCACAGACCACGAGGCGCGAGGCATCCGCGACCTGGCCAGCCACCGCGGCCTCCTGCGGCAGGGCATCGTGCAGCGGTCGGGGAAGCCGCTGCTCCCCTTCGCCGCGGGGCCGCCCACCGAGTGCATGCGGGACGAGAACGAGAGCCCCATCCCCTGCTTCCTGGCCGGGGACCACCGCGCCAACGAGCAGCTGGGGCTGACCAGCATGCACACGCTGTGGTTCCGGGAGCACAACCGCATCGCCGCGGAGCTGCTCGCGCTGAACCCGCACTGGGACGGCGACACCATCTACCACGAGACGCGGAAGATCGTGGGCGCGGAGATGCAGCACATCACCTACCAGCACTGGCTGCCCAAGGTCCTGGGCGAGGTGGGCATGAAGATGCTGGGCGAGTACGGCGGCTACGACCCGGGCGTCAACGCCGGCATCTTCAACGCCTTCGCCACGGCGGCCTTCAGGTTCGGCCACACGCTCGTCAACCCCGTGCTGCACCGGCTGGACGAGAACTTCCAGCCCGTCGCGCAAGGCCCCCTCCCCCTCCACAAAGCCTTCTTCTCTCCCTTCCGAATCGTGAACGAGGGGGGCATCGACCCGCTCCTGCGGGGGCTGTTCGGGGTGGCGGGGAAGATGCGTGTGCCCTCCCAGCTGCTGAACACGGAGCTCACGGAGCGGCTCTTCTCCATGGCGCACACGGTGGCGCTGGACCTGGCCGCCATCAACATCCAGCGTGGCCGGGACCACGGCATCCCGCCGTACCACGACTACAGGGTCTACTGCAACCTGTCGGCCGCGCACACCTTCGAGGACCTGAAAAATGAGATCAAAAACCCTGAGATCCGGGAGAAACTGAAAAGGTGAGCTGGCGTGCGTGGCTCGGATGGGCCCGCGTCGTGGGTGTGCGTTGTTACTTGTCTCGGTGTTGAGTTGTGTGTGTCAGGAAGAGTTCCATAGAGGAAGTGGATGAAGGCCCAGCTTGGGCGGGCGCTGGCCTCCTCCCCTGGCCTGGAGGTAGCCTCTGCCGAGCTGCGGTACGGTTTCAGCACAGAGAGGGGTTGTGCTTCTCTGGCCGGGGACACTGGAGGGAGAAGTGCACACAGGGAGGCGCCAGGCCTGAGCCAGGTGGGGCTGCAGGGAGGAGGGTCCTGCTCTCCCATCAGGAGCACAGGGCTGGGCAGAGCTTGGGCTGGGCAGAGCTTGGCCTTGGCAGACGCCCCGGGACCCACCAGCCCCTGCGGTCTGGCGCGTTGTAGCCTCTTCCCACTCACCATGTCACCCGAACCCAGGTCTGTGTGGCCACCTGCGTGGCCTCCGCCGACGGTGCGGGCTTCTGGGCCACAGCTGGGACAGGTCTCACTGGCCACCCTGGTGGCACCCGGGACCACCTGGGCAGCCAAACGGTGAAGTTTCACAGGTGAAGCGGAGGCCGCAGCGCTACCCAGGGCACCCGGGGCCCGGGTCTGGGTCCGGCTCAGGCTCCCCGACCCACGGCCAGTCCCTTGCCGGGAGCCTCTGCCACGGTCCACTTACCAAGTAGATGTCGAAAGTTCTTCAAAGCGTAGACGCTCAATGGCCTCCTTTTCTCTAGTGTTCACATCTGTCCTTTGCTCATTAACTTCGTTTCTCGTGTTACTTCTACCAATTTATTTGCATTCAGTATTTAAGGAAATAAAAATAATGATTCATTGGCATTTTTCCGGTATGATCTTTCATAGTCCTTGGACTTATGAATTAAGTCTGCAGGTCATTCTGTATTTAAAACGCCTTGATTCTCACTTCAAAGAATTCTTTTTTTAAAAAAATTTCTTTTTAAGACTCACTTCCCACACTTTCTGGACTCTCCAGTTTGCTCTGAACGCCGGACACTGAAGGTGAGACGTGCCCTACAGGGTCTGCCCTGTGCCTGCTGAATAAAAATGACTTTTACTTGTAACTTATCTGCATTTACAGATAAACGAACCCATGACTATCAAGTTCGGAATGTCCCAACGCTCCTTTAAATAATGGTATCAGATCGCTGGCCCGAGGAGATGCGCACGTTCTCCCCTGGTACCATTTCTGTTACGGTTTTGCTTGATTAGGATTTATGGAACCGTCTGTGTTTGTTATGTGCTTAATCATCCTCCGTTGTCCTTGTGCAGACGGGCACAGATGACGTTCCCAGCCACTCTCTCTTCTGCCAAACTTCCTTCAAAACAGTTCGAGGAGCCAGAGGTCCAGCTGGCGCTGCCGGTGGACCCCGGCAGAGACCTGGAAGATCACTCACCCCGCACTGAATCACTCAGATGTTTGTTTTTCTGTCTCAGCCCGTTACTCACTCAGAGGAAATGAGACAAGAGCGGGAGAACAGTTAGATGAAGACACGAGCCCAAGGGGCCGGGAGAGCTTCCCGGGGCCGTGCTGTTTCCAGCCGACCTCAGGGCAGCCTGTGGTTCTCCATGTCGCAGGCACTGGGTGGAGCTTTGTGCCTCATGGCAGCAGGGCTGGTGCAGGGCGTGGGTCAGCCTGGGCTGGGCCTGGTGCTGTCCCCAACTGCGCTACATCCAGGCGGTGAGGCCCCTTCTGGGGAGAAGGGTCCCTGGGCTGGAGCGGAGGCTTCGTGCTCCAGTTCTCCCCCCACGATGCCCAAGGAACGTGGCCTCGCGGACCACGGCGCCGGGTCCCTCTAGGAGGTGGGGCAGGCAGAACAGGAGGAGGGTGTCGCCCCAGGCGGGGGCTGCCTGAGCTGGAGCGCTTCCTCCAGGCAAAGGCCACGACAACTCTGGTGGCCCTGAAGCGTGTGTCCCCGGCCACAGACCAGATGCCGCTAGGTTCCTTCTGACCAGGGCCCACTGCCCAGGCGACGTCTTAGAGTAGAAGTTTAGCGTGAAGGGCATTGGACTTAGAAGAAAACCGGCGCAGTTTGAAAGACTAAGCGCTAGTTTAAACGAAGTTGCGTTTATTCTGCTTGCGGGACGAATGGTCTCGTGCGTCTTGTTCATCGAGCTGCAAAGTCTGTCTCGATTGCGGGGCTCAGTCCAATGTCGCCGCCTTGGGCTTTGTGGAAAAGCGCAGTCAGAATTACAGAACACATTTTTAAAAAGATCCAGTTGGGCTGAATAGCAGCCGAAACTAAGGCATCATCAGTTGTCTGGTAGAGTTTTTGGATTAGATAAAAAGATTTGGGTGGAAGTCGTTAGTTCTCTGCTTGTAAGCATATATTTCTGAGGAACTGGAAATTGATGAAAATGTTCCTTATTGAACATTCACATCTCAGTGTTTGACTTATCTTTGCTTAGCACATTTTTTTTATGGCAAATAATATTTTCAATATTTAGTGGAATCAAATTTATTCTTTCAAAAATGTGTCTGTAGCTATATATAGTTTATTGTTCATATAGTTATAAGAAAGATTTGAAGGGCAGACACTGATGTTAAGTGTGGTTGTCCCTGAGCAGCAGGAAAGGTGTGGTTTAAATCGGCTTCTGTGTGTTTTCCTCGCATTGCTACGGTTCCCATCATAAGTAAATAAATGTCTGTGTTTTATGCACATTTGGCAGGAAGTACGAAAAAGCCTTTTGAGTATAAGATGCCTCAGAGAAGGACAGGGGGATTTCCTTGGTTAGGTAAAAGTGTAAGTAAAGTGCAGTGGTGATGACAGAATAATCCAGAACCGTGCACTTTGCTGTGCTGCTCCGACCTCGCGCAGCCCCACCAGGCCAACTGACCTTCTCACGTTGCTCTCAGGTTGTACGGCTCGACGCTGAACATCGACCTTTTCCCGGCCCTCATGGTGGAAGACCTGGTGCCCGGCAGCCGGCTGGGGCCCACGCTGATGTGCCTGCTGAGCGCGCAGTTCAGGCGCCTGCGGGATGGGGACAGGTGAGCGCAGCGCCCACGGCACGGTCCGCTCCAGACTCAGCCTGTGCGGGGACGGGGAAGAGGGGCCGTCCTCACTGAGGATGAGGAAGGCTCAAGCCTTGTGTCGTTTGGGGACGGCGGCCTCAGGTGGCCGTCACCGCAGCCTCAGAATGTAACCACCCCGGTTGAGAGACGCTGTCACGTCCCTTCTCCCACACACATGTTTCTGCTCCCGGAAACCTGCCGACAGTCCACGCAGCAAAGCCACGGGGGGACCTCGGAGGAGGTGGGGCTTCTGGCGGGTTTAGATCAATCTCAGGCCAACCTGACTGCTGTGGCTCCGTGCACGGGAGCGTGGTCCCCGCCTCTGCTGGCTGACTCAGCAGACAGCCGCCCGCCCTGACGGTGTTTTCGGCAGGTGGCCTTGTTCTCGCTGGCGAGAAGAGCCAGCGCTTCCTCTCTCGTCCCAGATGCTTTGCTTTGTCCTTGGCGTTTGACCAGGCCACGCGAGCAGTTGGCGGAGCTCGGGAGAGGTGTGTGTTTGACTCCCGCCCTGCCCTGACCCTGCCTGTTTCGGGATCCAGGTTGTGGTACGAGAACCCGGGGGTGTTCTCCCCCGCCCAGCTGACCCAGATCAAGCAGGCGTCGCTGGCCAGGATCCTGTGTGACAACGGGGACAACATCACCCGCGTGCAGGGGGACGTGTTCCGGGTGGCGGAGTTCCCCCACGGCTACGGTGACTGCAGCGAGGTCCCCAGGGTGGACCTCAGGGTGTGGCAGGACTGCTGCGAAGGTGGGTGCAGGACCCCCCTTCCCGCCCGCGCTCCCGTCCCTGTCGCGGTTTGGGTGGAAGCTGCCTGCAAGCTCGGTGACTCACGGGTGTCCCCACGATACTGAGAACTGGGACAAATACTCAGCTGTGGGGGATTCATTAAATTATGGTGTGTCCGCGCCGAGATACACTGCGGGGCCAGAATGTGAAGGAATAAGTCATGGTTTGGAGGAATTTACAGTGACATGGGGTAGTATCCATGCTGACTGCAATACCACGTAAGACAAACAGACACCAGCCTTGATAAGGCATCCCCTCTAAATCCTAATCTGCGTCTAAATGCCAGCACCAGTGTGTCCGCCTGTGTATCGTATCCACAGATAAAAGATGAAAATCCAGCGTATGAAGGAAGCACACCAAACATCAGATTTTCCTCAAAAGTTATGCTGAGTGTTACAAATGTCTGTAGCAGCTTACGTGGCCAGAGACGGGTGTCACGGACCATCTCACGAGGAGGTGACAGGCGCCCGCAGGTGTGAGGTGGTGTCACCGTCAGGGCTGGAAGCCTGTGCAGGGGGCTCCCTGACGCCCACCCGTCGGCCAGGGCGCACGTCCTGGCGTGCGGGACCATCTTGCCCGCAGAGCCACTGTCGGCTGCCACCGTCCTCGCGGCCGCGCTGCTGCTTTACATTCCTGAATCCCACTCGGGGTTAACCTCCGTTCCCATTTTCTAATTTGAGTATAATTTTGGCTTTATTCAAACTATGATCAGAGCCCCGTAGAAGAAGCCTGAAGCCGCGGCACGTTTAGAGCCCGTGGTAGAGCGTGTGCCGTGTGGTGAGGAAAACCGGACGGAGAGGCGCCCTGGCGCTCTCGGAGCGTGTGGCGGCCGTGGCTGCTCCGTGGCTTCGAAGAGACACAGAAAATTCAGAAACTCTGGCTGTTTTCTCCTCCGCCCCATTTTCCTGAAGTACTAGTTTTGGCCAGGATGTTACTTAGTTTAGTAAGTGTTCAAATCTGTGTTTTTAATAGGGCTGGTTTCTAACAGCTCCTAAGAGAGGGAGTGTGTCTGTGCGAGCATGCGGGGTGCGCGGTCTGATTTTGTGTCTCCTCGTCTGTCTCCACCCCGTGTGTATGTGGGAGAATTCACGTAAAAAACAAAATTGTGCTTGCCACATACCCAGTATCCCAGGTCATTTACATTCTTATCACCACACCTGTTGGAAACCTGTATCTGCTTTTGTTCTGTTTTGTTTTTGTTTTGTACTTTCACTGGTTTGTGAAGTTCAAAACGCTTTTCTACAAGCATGGCAGAAAATGCATTCTGTTTGCAGAAATTTGTTCTCTTGAACTCCTTGGGAAGAGCCAGTTGTTGCTCTCAGATACAGAAGCTCCATGTTCCAGCCGGGTGCTGTGGCGTGGCAGGGGCAGGGCGGGAGGACGCTGGAGCCGGGAGGTCGAGGCTGCAGGGGGCTGTGGCCCCGCCCCTGCACTCCAGCCCAACCCCGTCTCTAAAACAAACACACAAACAACCCAAAACTCCATTTTCCGATAGCTTTACCGGGCTCCCTGCAGCTGCTTAAGGAGTAGAGCCCGGATCTTTCTCTTTTGCTCTGAAGGTCCAGGGTGCTTGGACAGACCTGAAGCCAGGCCCTGTACCGTCCGATGTCACGAGCCGCCGCCTCTCTGGGTTGACTTCTGGGGACGCTCGGCTGCTCCAAGCAGTCTCTGACCTGGGTTCTTCCCTCTTAAAGCCGCAGGCGTGGCCCTGAGCCGACGACCTGGGAGGATGTTGCTAAGCTCTTACCTGTTTCCATTTTAGCCCCGTGGCCATATCTGAAGTATTCACACAGCAGAAAAATAACAAAAAAGAGAATGGAGATTTGACAGAACCAAATGTCTGTTGCTGTCACTTTTCAATTCAACTTTTCCAAAAAAACATTCAAAGCAAACTTCCTCAGGCTGTGCCTCCTAATCATTTCCATGTTTTTCTAAATTCATGTATGATACCTGCGCACATAGGAAACCTGAGAAGCAACTCCTGGGTAAATGCAGTTTCTTTTTCTTCTGAAAAGAGCTATAAACTTCTCTGTGGGATTAATCATTTGTGAGGAAGAACACACACACGCACACACATACACACACACCTGAATATGTTCGCTCACATGTGCACAAGAGGCTCACACACACGCACGTGCATATGTGCGCAGATACACACATGCAATTTTGAGATCATGGCAATAATTACTGAAAAGTTACAGAAAACTCCTACTTCACCTACATATACCAGTTGTAAGCATTTCGCTATATATGGGAACTCTCTCTTTATATAAGTATGGATATATATGTATGCGTATGTGCATGCGTGTACGTATGTGTGCATGTGTGTACACAATGCATGTTTACATGTCGGTGCATAACTCCATGTGTTTGTGCATGTCTGCATGCACATATACGTGTATGCACGTGCCCTGTACATACATGTAGTACACAAGCATGCGTATACAATACATATATGCATGTGTCTTTGTGTGTGCATATGTATGTGTGTGCATGTGTATATATGTCTGCATGTGTGTGTGCATGTATATATGTGTGTATGTATATGTACATGCACGTGTGTGTGTGTGTGTGTGTGTGTGTGTGTATAATGCGCATGTTTTTCTGAACTGGTCAAGGAAGTTGCAGACATCTTGCCACTACTCCTAAGTAAATTACTTAAACGTGCGTGGTCTAGGACACTGCTCTGCCCTGCTCTTCTGAGACCATTGGTGGGCAGAGCAGCGTGAGATGGACCAGCCTGCTGGGTCTGACCCAGAGCTGCACAGTAGCTGCAGAAATAAGTCACAGATCATTTAGTGGAGCTGTTCATGGGCTTTGAAGACAGCCGCCAGCACTGCGCTCCTGCCCTTCAGGAAGAAGTAGTCCAGAGCCGAGCTGGAGGCGGGAGGCCAGCGGTGTTGGCTCTGGCTGGTCTCCGTGCGCAGCGTCCACCCCAGGGGCTCTGGGGCGCTTTACACTTCTGGACGGGGCCACACTCGGCCTCTGCCTCCACTCTCTGCCAGCCCTTCCAGGCTGAGGGTGACACACAAGACAGACGAAAACCCCATCACTTTCCTGCACAGAATGTCACTGGCCCTCAGGTGCGGCACAGCACTGGGGGCCCCTCCCTCACCTGGGGGTCCATGTGAGACACAGCTGACGGCCCCTCCCTCACCTGAGACTCAGGCGGGACAGCACTGGGGGCCCCTCGCTCACCTGGGTGTAGGTACAGGCAGGAGGCCTCTGCTGTGGCGGGGACGTTTGGGTCCCTCGGGGTGCAGGAGTGAGGCCTGCAGGTGCGGTGCAGGTGGCTGTGGGGTGGCCGATGCTCCAGACCTGGCCGTGGCGGGCGGAGCCGCAGAGGGTGGTGCGGTGCGCGACATGGGTGTCCTCGAGGGGCTCAGGCAGGCCAGCTGCCGGGTCTCGTGAGGTCACCTCGGTCACGCCTGACATACAGGTGCCGGTTGGTTCATGGAGACTGTTCCTGTGTGACCAGATGCACTCAGTTTCAACTAGGACTAGAGCCATCAACAGCTGACGTGCCCCTTTGTGTTCCCGTGTTAGACTGTAGGACCAGGGGACAGTTCAACGTGTTTTCGTACCATTTCCGCGGCAGACGGTCCCTTGAATTCAGCTACCAGGAGGACAAGCCCAGCAGGAAGCCCCGCCCACGGAAGACACTGAGGTACGGTCGTCCCGGAGGGCAAGAGCGTGTGGGAGGGGCCTGCGCTGCGGGACCGGGGCAGGACCACAGCGCAGGGACGTCCTGGGGCCCAGGGGATGGGCGTCCTGCTCAGAGCACCCGCCCCCGGACAGCTATTTGAACGCGGGTAAACTGAGTCCGCTGGTTGCCTGCCGGGGTTATATTTTGGCCCCTCCCCCTCTGGCAGTGCTGAGAGACACGGCACACATCCTGGCAACACCACCTCCGCCTTCAGCGAGCACGCGAAGGGACCAGGGACAAATGACTTCAGAGAGTTTGTCCTGGAAATGCAGGAGACCATCACAGACCTCAGAAAACAGGTAAGGGCCGGCGGCGTCCTTCCCTGCAGAGGAGTTCCGGCCGCACACGTCCGCCTGCAGGCGCGGCCAACGCTGGGCCCCGGGAGGCCCTCTCTGACACCGGGCTCTTGCCTTGGACTTGCTGTGGCTGGGCCGTGTGGGGCTGTGGTCCTTGGGTTTCCCCGAGGGGACATCCGGGAGGTGGGTTCTCGGTGTTGCCGGCGAGGGGCTGCTGCAGGAACGCTGGCCGCCAGACAGGACGCGGCGGAAACTCGGATGGGTGTTGCAGGGGGACTCCCGCCTGGCCAGGGAGGGGTCGCGGGTGTGTCACGGTCCGTCCTCCGTCCATCTGATCGGGTATCGGGAGTGAGGAAGGCCCTGGTGTCTGCCGTAGGGCAGCAGGGACGGTCAAGCCGGCTCTTCGCCGAGCTCTGCCGAGGTTTTGCGGAGGAGGAATCCTCTGCTCTCAGTCCCTCCGTGGAACTCACCCAGCTCCGCCCGGCGCTGTGTGGGCGCCGCCCCCGAGGGGCAGACAAACCTGGCCGACCCTCGGGTCCGTGGGGGCTGTGAGCGTCCTGGGAACCTGGGGGTGGTCAGGGCAGACATCCTGACAGGTGACCCTGAACGGTCTGACGGCCCGTGGGGGCGCGCTGGGGACGGCCGAGCGGAGGCAGAGTGGCACTGGGTGCCCCAACTGTGCCCGCCGTCCCGATTCCACCCACGGACGGGCAGGTGCCCGGGCGGCGGTGCTGGGGCTGAGGGACGTGGCACATCCACTGTGATTCTGCAGCCGCCGCAGCTCAGGAGGCCGCGGGCAGCCGTGTCGTCCCCTCGCTCCTGGGTGACCGCTCGCGAGCTGCAGGTCGTCTGCTTATCCCACAGCCTCGTGGGCACACGTGGGCAGAGGCGGCTCCGCTTTCCCGCCTGTGCGTCACCGCCGGTCAGCCCGGCAGGGGGACAGACGGGCCCGGCCCCTGCTCTGGGAGCCTCGGGGACCCTTCCTCTTTCTCTTCACGGTTTCAAGTAGAGTTCCAAGATTTGGTGATTTAAATGCCGGTCTGCTAACAGTGATTCCTGGGGAAAGACAGTTCGCTCTCCTTCAGCCGCAGAACCACACAGCCAGAGGACACGGTGACTTGAGGCCGCAGAGCTGCGTGGTACCTGCTCAGCCAGAGGCCTGGGCTCGGTGGGCTGGGGCCGCATGTTGAGGCTGCGATTAAAGACGTTTTAATTGAAGGGAAGCGTCCGAGGTTTGTTTAAGTTATTCGTGGCCATCGCCGTCCCTCCCATCTGCAGGTAAAGCAGGTGCCTTCCCTGCAGCCACACAGGCTTTGTGCGAAGGTTCGTTAGAAGAATTGGGACACACGTGTAAATGACGTATATCCATCCCAGGTCTCATTAGCAGTTTAGGTTCCGTGACAACGGACAGAAAACCCAACGTAGGGATGGTCCCACTGAGGTCCGAGTTCACGTTCTCTCAGGTGGGTCTGGAGGTGGCAGGTCCAGGCTGCCGGGCCCTCCGCGGCTCAGGGCCCAGGTGCCGCCGGCCGCTCTCCTGTGTGGCCTCTGTTTCTAAGGCCACCTCCGGCCCCGGGGCTCCTGGCGACCATCACCTTGTCCCAGCTCCCCCAGCAAGACGCGGGGCAGGTGTGAGGAGGGTGAGCCCCTCCGGGGACTTGCTGGTGGCTCCTGTTACCGTTGTGAGGTCCCCGGCCACACCTGGGACACCTGGACTTGGGGAGGTCGTCTCTATTCTGGGGGCCATGCTCCCACATAAGCCCAGTGGTTTTATTACCAGGAAAATAAGGAAGGTCCGATTCTGGCCTGATGAGTCATACTCCTTCGTTCGGAAACTAAGCACGGAATATTTTTGTCATCTGACTGATTCTCGCTCTCACGATTCTTTGCGAATTCCTCCTCTGTTTCCAAGGCGCTTCTGCGACAGCTCAGTGGTCAACCCGCTTGTCCTAGAGCTTCCGTACGGCTGTCTCCCGCCTATCCGTGAACTTGAGATTCCACAGTCGTTTTCCAGAAACACTCGTCTCAGACGTGGTTTATTTTATTTATTTATTTTTTTTTTTGAGACAGAGTCTCACTGTGTTGCCTGGGCTAGAGTGCCGTGGCGTCAGCCTAGCTCACAGCAACCTCAAACTCCTGGGCTCAAGCGATCCTCCTGCCTCAGCCTCCCGAGTAGCTGGGACTACAGGCATGCGCCACCATGCCCGGCTAATTTTTTCTATATAGTTTTAGTTGTCTGATTAATTTCTTTCTATTTTTAGTAGAGATGGGGTCTCGCTCTTGCTCAGGCTGGTCTCGAACTCCTGAGCTCAAACAATCCGCCCACCTCGGCCTCCCAGAGTGCTAGGATTACAGGCGTGAGCCACCGCGCCCGGCAGACGTGGTTTATTTTAAGGCGTCGTTTCGAGCGAAGGAGCGACTTCCACGCAGGAGCCGAGCTGTGACTCCGAACTGACCGTGAGTGTTTCTTGCAGATAAAGAAACTTGAATCCCGGCTCAGCGCCACGGAGTGCGTGGACGCCAGTGGCGAGCCTCACGCCAACCACGCCAGGTGGAAGACGGACGCCTGCACCCTGTGCGAGTGTAGGGTGAGTGGGGGTCGTCGCCACGCCCGCCACCCCCTGGACTGGGCCAGGGCAGCATGCTGGGAGGCGGACGGCGGGGACGGTGGCCCCGTCTGGGGTCCCTCCGGAGAGGGCGTGACAGTGTCCTGGGCTGGGCGGATTTGGTAAGCACAGGCCAGGGGAGAGACGGCCGTGTCCCCTCCCTCTCCTCTCTGACCGGGCCTGCCCCCGGGGGAGGGGAGGGTGTGCCCAACCTCCTCGGTTTACAGAGTCCGCAGGGGAGGTCAAACTGCGCACACGGCCCCGGCGGTGCGGGGCAGGAGGGGACCCAGGGCGAGGCCGGGTGCTGTGCCCGCCCCACGGCCCTCCCGGCACTGACGGCTCGTCTGTCCCCTCCAGGACGGGCAGGTCACCTGCTTCGTGGAAGCGTGCCCGCCTGCCGCCTGCCCGGCGCCCGTGAGAGTCGCAGGAGCCTGCTGCCCGGTCTGCTCACAGACAGCCGCGGAGGACACGCCTTAGCTCGCTGACTCCGCGGGGTTTGTCCGCCGCGTCATCGTGAGGTCCGGGGGCAAGACGGGCAGCCGCGGACCAAAGAAACACCAGAACGCGAGCGTTTCATGACAACGTCCGGCCGGTGCTGTCACGGAGTCGGGGGCGGGGGCTGCTGGCCGGGGGCCCCCTGGGGAGGGAGCGCAGCGCGCGCCCGGGCGCCAGGCAGACACGCGTCCTAACGTCACGTTAGGTTTCTCAGGTTTTTATTTAATTCTTTTAAGATGAGAAATTGGTGCTACCATTAAATCGCACAGTTAAATCGTTTAGGCTCCTAAATTGATTTCACCTGACAACACCGTTTCTTTTTTGGCAAAGCAGGTACCTCCGAATCTCAGTGCCGCTGGTTCTGACCCTGCGGGGGTGTCCTCGGGTGGGGGTGTCCTCGGGTGGGGTGAGCGCAGAGCCGCAGGCAGGTGGGGCCGCCCTCTGGGCTCTGTAGCGTCTCAGCTGCTCGGCGTCTGAGCATGGGACGGACATGCCCAGCACAGACGGTTGCCGACCCTGCGGCTCTGCTCCAGCGACCTCCACGCATGATGGTGACATTAACAAGCCGCGCTTAGAGACAGGTTTGTTTTCACGCGCAGCTGCGTACGTACTGCCCGGCTGTGAACCGAATGTGGAAATCCTCCCCTCCCTGTGTCTGACGACACCGACACCCACTGAGGGCCCAGCCGCCCACGCTGACTCGGTTGGCGGCGGGCTCTGGCTTTGTCCCCTTTCCGGAGGCTCCGTTCCTGGCCAGAGCTCCGGGAACGGCGGATCCTCCCCAGGGGCGGGAGGAATTCCAGTGTCGGGAGTTTTCCAACTTCAGGTGTGTGAGTGTGTTGACAAAAGAAAATGAATCCTGTACGTCATTTGTATTGTTAAAATGCGTGATGTTTTATGAAAATTCACCCCTTTTTTAGGTATTAGACGGACAGAAAAACCATTTCCACTATGCAAAAGTTCTTTTAGATTTTAGTGACGAGCAACTATCAAACCTCATGGGCTCCCTCTTTTTAACTGACTGACCAAGACCTTCCGTTTTATTCTAAATACGGAGGGATCTGTGTTAGGAGAAACGTTTTCCTGAACGTGGAAGTTCAGTTCAGCACACACTGACCCGGATGCCCACCACGTGCCGGGCACTGAGATGGGGGCACAGGGGCGGAGGAGGAAGACTCGAGGTCACAGGAGGTTTCAGTTCCAGGTGGCAGGTGTCCCAAGGTGGTGGCACGATGCGGAGACTAACTGGAGCAAGGTCCCGTGCAGCCTGCCGCGTGGTGGGCACAGGCGTGTCTGCTGTGATTTGCACACGACCCGTGTTCTAGCACGAGCGTCCTTCCCACCGGCAGAGACACCCGGCACCTTCCTGCTGGAGACCCGCAGCTGCGGGGCTGTGCGCAGCCTTCCGGCCGCGAGCGTGTTCCCAGGGCGTCACGGGGGCTGCTGTGTAAAAACGGATGTCTTGGCCGTGCATCTTCTTATTACAAACTGATGAACTAGCACGGCTGGTGTTCCGTGGCGCATGGGCTTGTTTCGAAATGTCCAGTCACGTGTAGTGATCGAATCTCGGGACAGATCTCTGTCACATAGGAAATGTGCATGTTTGTCTACAAGCTGGTGGTCACGTACGTCGCTCAGGTATACAGACGGCGGCAGCTCTCCATGCTGGGAGTGTCCTGCTGTCTCGTAAGTGCCTTCAGACACGGGTGACGCCCGCTGCTGGGTGCTGGGTGCACGCGTTGTGGCAGACCTGGCGGGGCGGGTGCCGAGGGACGCGTTGGCGGGAAGGCGGCTGCGATTCACAGGAAATCCTGCAATTCAAACCAAAATGTCTGCGGAATCACCAGTTTGATCCTGTACGTGACCCAAAACGGCAGCGGCGCCTGAGCGAACGCTCCCCGGTAGCCACCGTAAGGGGACAGCTGTCAGCCGAAGCCGAGTGTACATATTTATTCACCTTCCTATTGCTGCCGACAGCCAGATGCCTTTTTTACGATCATTATATTCAGTACTTTACCAAAGAAATGTTTGCACTGTGTAACGATGCCTGTCCGTTCAATAAATGGGCCACATTTTCAAAAGGAGATTGGCTTTTTTTTTTTTTATCTTAAACTGAGAAATGAAGCTAAAATTTGTTCTCCAGGTGAGGTCAGACCGTGAGAAAGAAAGGGGGTGGTTCCCGGGAAGAATCCCAAGAGCTGTACTGGGCACTAAAGATTTTATATGAAAAAGGTGAAAAAAGAAGAAAGAGCATTGTTCCAAATGGTCTGTCTTTTCCCAAGTATCCAGGATACTTTACCTGGACTGAGTTTTATTTTTTTTTTTTAAATCTCGGGCAGGTGGGAGTTGAGCTCTTGGGAGAAACTTCTCGCAGCGGCCCCGGCCTGACGTCCTGTGGGTGGACACAGACACGGCCCCGTCGGGAGGAGCGTGCGGTGCCAGCTGCCCCAGGCCCAGGGGTCCGCGACGGGCGGGCTGCGTTCCCAAAAGCTCACGCGTGTCTGCGCACCTCTTTGGGGGACCCGGCTCCCGCTGGTGCCTCCGGTCACTGCTGGTAGGGGACTGCTGTCCCCAATTTGTCGTTAACGTGCCAGCGACCGCAAGAAAGGCAGGAACAGTGAGCTGTCGTCGCTGCATTGGTGTTTATGGTCACAAATATCCTCAAACCCCAAACCCACAGGCCTTGACACTCGCCTAGGATGTTTGAATTTGGAAGGTCCCAAAAGCCCCAGAAATGACTGCTTTTATGTTTGTGGGATTTGTTACAAATAACTCAGTCTCAGGCCAGGCGCGGTGGCTCGTGCCTGTAATCCCAACAGTGGGAGGCCCAGGCAGGAGGATCACTGGAGGCCAGGAGTTCAAGACGAGCCTGAGCAAGAGTGAGATCCCACCTCTACTAAAGATAGAAAAATTATCCAGGCATGGTGGCCAGTGCCTACATTCCCAGCCACTCAGGAGGCTGAGGCAGGAGGACGGCTTGAGCCCAGGAGTTTGAGGCTGCAGTGAGCTGTGATGATGCCACTGCACTCTACCCAGGGTGAGAGAGCGAGACTCTGTCTCAAAAAACAAACAAAAGACCGACTCAGTCTCCATCTGCTGTCACAGGGTCTGAGTTTTCTTGTGAAATAAGTTAAATAATTGTGACATAAATAGTTAATGACATGTTGTTTACATGCCTTTTAAACTGCATCCTTCCCATCATACGAACTCGTTTTCCTGCTGCTGTCCTCCGTGCACAAGCTCATCGGGGCACACGCACGGAGCTCACCGCGTGAGTAACGTGCAGCTGTTCTTACAGGAAGTTCCGGGGAAACGTTCCTGTTTATATTCTGTACAAATTGCTGTAACAGAAGTTAACTCCGAGAGCAGCTACTGGTCGTCATCCCAGTGATTCAGCGCGTGCAGGGACGAGACAGGAACAGGATGTTTGGTGCCGTGCCGGCCTGGCCCGTGGGAGGGTTTGGGCACGGCGTTGCCGGGAAGGCCCCGAGCCCGGGCCGGTCAGGAGGTCGCTCAGCTCCGCTGCCTGCGCCTCCGTCCCCGACGAGTCAGGACTCCCTGGGCCCAAGACCCAAACCCGCGTCTGACGCTGAGGCCAGTTCCCTTCTCCTTCCACGACACTCGGAGAAGCTGAACATCTGCATTTAGTTAAAACTGCTCCCTCTGTACTTTGCCCAAAATACCGATGGAAATGCTTTGTTCACGGGACACTCCTCGTGGGAAGGACGAAGCGTTTGGGAATCTGAAGTGCAGTTTCCTACTTGTGCTCACTGCGATCCCAGCTGCACTTCATTAGCTCTGCAGCCTTTGCCAAGCCACTCAACCCTTCCGAGTCTTCCTCTTTTCATTTGTGAAACAGACACTTGCGCCGAGACCTTCTGGGCTTGCTGTGCAGATAAGCTGGGGTGTCCGTACCAGGGTGCCCAGCACAGACAGGAGCTTAATGCTCTTTTTCTGGCCAGCCGAGCACGGCCTTGCCCCGACAGGTCTGGCTTAGGGACGCCTCCCACCCCGTGTCCCCTAGAAGCCCTTAAAAACACGACGGATCTTGTTTTCACGCAGACGGGGGAGGGGCTGGATCCTGTTTTCACGCAGACGGGGGAGGGGCTGGATCCTGTTTTCACGCAGATGGGGGAGGGGCTGGGTCCTGTTTTCACGCAGACAGGGCAGAGGAGGGGCCGGGACACCACCCTCGCTTCACGTGCTGCCTGAATTTAAAAGCAACCGAGTGGTGATGAGAAACTCCCCCGTGTGACCCAGAACATCTTGACATCAGACAGCGGCTGACAGCCCCCGCCCCAGAGGCCAAGAACGTGTTGCCGGAGGCCGCGCCCCTGCACCGCACACGCCTTCCAGACCCCTGCCGTGCCCAGCCCCTCCTCGCCGTGTGGCCGGGTTCCGCGGCGTCCAGAACACACCTTTCCCGCTGTGGTGTCTGCGCCCAGCCCGTCCTCTCCTGCCCTCATCCTGAGACCCCCTGCATCCCCCCGGGGCCCACCCCTCACTCCGTGGCGACCGCCGTCCTGGGATGGGTGCGCTGTGAGCGAGCGACGCCGCGTCTGCTGAGCTTCGTAGCCGAGCAGGAGCCACCGCCCCCAGGACAGCCGTTTCCCCGGCTGGAGGACAGAGGACGGGCACGACCCCCACCAGTCTCCGTCTCCAGCGATCTTAGCTCATCTACACAGCTCGCTCGCTCCCCGACCCCCACGGGAGAGGCTTTGCTTCTCCTGCGATAGTCGACGTGAAGACGAGAGATTGGGGTGAGCTCTGCCCCTAGCTGCTGTTTGAGCTCAGACAAATTAACACAATTGAGCCTCAGGTTTCATCTACAAAATGATCTACCTAGTAAGAATTCTTTTAATTAAGTAAGATAATGTCGGCAAAAAGAAAACAGAAAGCGTACGAATGTGTGAGCTGCCGGGAGCCATTTACTGAGCAGAGCCGCACCCTGGGCCTGGCCTGTGCGCCGGGGGCTCCTCTCCTGCAGAGGGGGAGGTGCAGGCCCCTCGGGGCCAGAGGCCGGCAGCTCTGCAGTCTGCAGGGACAGCTGGGAACCAGCTATTCAGGACACCGTCCCCGAGTCCTTGGTGTGGATCCGGTGGATGAAGATCTTGTCCTCGTGCAGAGGGAGCCACAGCCTGGCCAGTGCATTTGCTCGTCCCGGTGTGGTGCTGTGGGCACGCGTGGGCACGACAGCGGCAACCTCAGCCGGTGACCAGGCCTGGGGCTCGTCCCGAGTCAGGAATAACCATTCTAAGA